AGGGATTAGAATTCACAGGCTCTTGGTTTCTATCTGATGCCTTAATCTCTACACCAAGCAGGCTTTCTCATGGAAGATTCAGAGTAGGTAAACACAAATCCTTTTCAAACAGTGCACAGCTGAACTATAGAATTTGCTATCACAGATATACTGTAAGGATGGTCATTAGGTTAAAAGTATTAGACAGTGATGGCGAACCTTTTAGAGCCCGAGTACCCAAACTGCAACCCAAAACCCATTTATTTATCTCCGGGTGCCAAGTGGGCATGACCCACTGGATGGCCATGGCTCTGGTCATGGCAGACTGGTGGGTGTGGCCAAGGTGGGTGTGGTCACCTCAATGATGCTCATGGGGGCAGATGCTTATGAGGACTGGGAAGGGTTAGGGGAGATCCAGGGGAGTCTCTGGCAGGTAGGGCAGTGGGCAGGAGGCTCATCCTCAGGGTGAGGCGAGGCAAGACGAGGCAAGGCGAGGCAGAGCGGGGTGCCATTGTCACGGGGCAAGGTGAGGCAGGGGCCGGAGTGGCTGCTGCCTGACACCATTGGCCCCCGCACACAGAGGCCAGCAAGCGCATGGGGTCGACAGTGTCCATCAGCAGCCACAGCCTGCCGGCCCCTTCTGGGGCTCTCCAGCCCACCAGCAGCAGTTCAGAGAAGCTGCCTCTGAGCTGGATGACTGGCCAACAGCTGAGGAGGCGATGCAGTGGATTGTGCCCAGGAAAAGGAGGGATGGGATTGGGGGGAGGGAAAACAGCCATGCTGGGATGCATCTGGCCATGTGGGAGCTCGGTGAGTTAGCAGGCGGCTGGTTGAAGAGGGACAGTTGCCATCTCCAGGGCATGGTGCGCATGCCCACAGAGAGAGCTCTGAGTGCTGCCTCTGGCACACGTGCCATAGGTTCACCACCATTGTATTAGACTATGTAATGGAAAATAAGACATTTACAAGCCTTTGCACTCTCTCCACTTCATTCTGATCCTCCTGTTGATCTTTTTGATGTCTCCACTTCCAGCATAAGGCCTTATTTGTGCTGTTGGTGGCATCTTCTCACCATAGACTGCCTTATGGTCCAGCCACTCCCACCCCATACCCTGCCTGCAGCCACCCCGCCAGGGCCGCTGCCCCGCCACCCACCCCGCATAGCCCCGCCATGTAGAGCGGGCCCTGCAGCTCCCACAGCACCAGCTGCACACCATACTGATGGTGCAGAGCTTGCAGTTGTTGAGCCATATGCCAGTGCAGGGCGGCAGGTGGGTGAGAGCTGCAGGAAGGCCGAGGCGGTGGCAAGCATCATGGGCCAGACACTCCAGGGTGGCCATGTAGGCACACATGGTGAGGTAGTGGCAGCGCAGGTCCAGCCACAATGCACACCAATGGCGCAGAGCTTGCAGTCACCAAGCCAGACGCCAGTGTGGGGTGGCGGGAGGGTGCAGATGGCAGGCAGGCCAAGGCGGCAGCAGGCGTTGCGAGCCAGGCGCTCCAGGGTGCCCATGTAGGCACACAGGGTGAGGCAGCGGCAGCGCAGGTCCAGCACCAGCTAGGCCACCAGTTGGCCCGGCCCAAGGAAGGTCAGTCACCCACCGTGCCCCACGCGCACCACCTTCGCACCCAACGCCCGCCGCTGTCCCACCAGCACCACCTCCGCCACCGCCTTTCCCACGCAGCTCCGCTGTGTCAAGCGAGCTCCGCAGCTCCCACAGCAGCAGCAGCATTGCACACTGATGGCTCATGAGGTGAGCACAAGGTGAGCATGACACAGGCGTGCACATGTTTTCCGTGCTTCAGTGCCAGGCTCTCCATGCTGCAGCGTGACATGGAGAGCCTGGCTGACACAGGTGAGTATGAGGCAGGAGTGCACATGGAGTCCGCTTTTTCGGCAGGGCAGAATTAAGTGCTGCTCCCCGCCTCCCATCTTCTTTTACTTACAAGTAGGAGATGGCGTAGTTGCTCAGCAGGGAGGGGCGCAAAGTCCTTGCAAACTCGCCTTTGCTGCAGACATCTTGCATATGCAACGTTTGCTGGCTGGGTCTTTTGGCATGTTCAGCAGTGCAGAGACAGCCATTAATGACCAGGTCTGGACAATTCCTATTGGCTTTCAAAAGCCAATAGAATAGAGGGAGTAGCACAGCTCATGGAAAAGTTGAAAAAATCCATCAAAAAAGGTGCCGGAATGCTGTTCTGATCATTTTATGAGGAAAAAAAGCCCTGGTCTTAGGCGACCCCTGTGAAACGATCATTCAACCCCCAAAGGGGTCGTGACCCACAGGTTAAGAACCGCTGATCTATATGAATAACTATCATTTGTCACTATATGGAATTATTGTACACTAAGCAACTCATGTCCCTTTGGGTCATCCTTTCAGAGATATTTCCTTAACTAAGCAGAGAAACAGAAAGACCATAGGTGGGCAAAAAAGCAACAGGAGCTGGAATGACTTCTGACTTCCTGCTAAATTCCTCATTGAGTTTCCTTATGGAAAGCTGGCAAGGAGCACTGTAAACAGTACTTCCTCCCTCCCTTGAATTCCTGCTGGCTTCCCCATTTACTTTGCTTATGGGAAGCCTGCAGGGAGAAGGAAGAAAGCAAAAAGTTGCAAGACAAAGAGCAGCAGACAGGTAAGTGGCTCCTTTATGGTGGGGGAGGGAGCATGCTGAGCAGATTGGGAATGGTATGTGGGGTTGCATGAGAGATGCCGTATGGGTTGGGGAGGGTGCATATGTGTGTGCAAGAGTTCAGGTTGGGATGGGAACGCAGTGGGCAGAGCAGTGGGGGGGGGTTGGGGATGTGTATGAGGGAGTGTGTGTGTGGGAGGGGTTGGCATGGGTTGAGAAGAGTGCCTGGAAGTGCCATCCTAATTTTGAACAATAGGGTTTTTTTTGTAAAACATTTGTTCATTAAGCAAGGACTAGCTATATGAGCATAGAAAACTTATTATATGAGAGTTGCTTAAACAATATACTGTATGTGCCATCGAAATTCCTACATAAATGCATGTTGTTATTCTTCAACAAATGAAAGCTTTCCTCTTCCTTTAATAAGAAAAATGGTTCTGGATTACAGCAAAAGATACATAGATATGCACTACATTATTCTCTTCTGTCGTAAAATAAATTATGCAAAAACAGAAAAGGAATAAAAAAGGTTTTTTTTTTCTTTTAAGAAAAAAAGAAATAATCTTAGGCTTTTAACATTCATTTCCTTGTTAGAAACATAGCACTGAAGAACACCACATTTAAATCTGAAAACTGTATTGAGATAATCATCCCAGAAGTTTAGATGCCAAGCCCTAGCCCACAGTCCAACAAATTTTATAACTGCCTCAGTATATGCCAAGGTATTTTTTCCCTGAGAGATATCTAGGGGCAGATTTCCTCAGAAACTTTTGGCTGAAGATAAATTTCTTTCCAGCACTGATGAAATCAAGATATATTCTAGAAAGGGAAGGTGTCAAGATGTGGAAAGGAGTTTAATCTATTATGTTTGAACTTTTCCATTTCAGAAGTATTGCGACTGTTTAAGAAATATAGGTAGTCCTTGACTCCCACAATTGGGATCAGAATTCCATCGCTAAGCAAGGCAGTTGTTAAGTGAGTCATTATGCCACCTTGAGACCCCCTTTTTTGCCATGGTTGTTAAGAAAATCTCTGCAGTTGTTAAGCGAATCCTGCTTCCCCCATTGACTTTGCTTATCAGGAGCAGCTTTGAACGATCACTAAATGGATGGTTGTAAATCAAGGACTACTTGTAATGAAGAACACGGACATGTTTCAGACCCGTTGGTTTTTTTTTATGCTCGTTTTATACCAGTATGAAGGATGCAGGGGGCATCCTATGCCCTTAGGTGCATTTTTGATCAAGTATTAACATCTGTCAGTTCATTAAGGAGGATATGCTAAATTGTGCAGAATGTGGTACTTATTGGGAGATAGCAGCGCTGCATAAATCCCACTTTGTGATCCATTCCCCATCTAAATGGCTTGCCTTAAATAAAGAAACAGAGATTGCAGAGAGCAGTGAAAAAGAGATGGAAATCAGTTCTTGCTTCTTTAAATGAGCAAGTGAGAAGCAGCGATCAAGCAGGGCTTATTTCTTTCTACTCAGTAAGCCTCTGCTCCTATGCAGGTCTACAAGGCAGCCTCTTTGTTCCTGAATAGACCCCTCCCTCTTTCCTCATCTTCCCTGAGAAAATCTAATCTGGTTGCTAAACAGAAGCTGTGAATCTCTCTCTCTCTCTCTCTCTCTCTCTCTCTCTCTCTCTCTCTCTCTCTCTCTCTCTCTCTCTCTCTCTCTGTGTGTGTGTGTGTGTGTGTGTGTGTGTAAGAGAGAGAGGGAATTGAGCAGCGCAGAAGCTTAGTCAAAAGCCATTGTTAGCACTCCCCCTCCATATAATTGTATTAATTCTCTCACAAAAGGTATGTGTGTGGGAGAGCGAGGTGGGTAGTTCTTCCCCACTCCTCATGGAGGGGGGGGATAAGATAATGCTTCTCCTTTCAAAGGGGAAGATGGAGCCGATTGCGAGGAAGTTAAACACTTTGCTTTCTAACTAGATTGGAGGGGACTGCAACCTGTTTCTCCACCTCTTCTTGCCCACGTTTGCCCAACTGCAGGGCTTTCCCCCCCCCTCCTTCTTCCTGACAGGCGGATGGAAAGGCTTGCCTTGCAACCCTTCCCCATCCGATTTAGACAGCCCCTCCAATTCCTCCTGGACTAGACCCTTTGGGGGGGGGTCTGAGAAAGGTGGCCGGAGTAAAGGACAACCCCTATTTTTTTTCCTCTACACAAAGCCAGGAGGAGGAGGAGGAGGAAAAGGAGGAGGAGAAGAACGTGTCTGATTTAAAGCTCAGCCTCAGTGCAGAGAGCTCCATGTAAAAAGGGACAGAACCTGAGCTCTCCTCTCAGCGCGCGCGCGCACACACACACACACACACACACACACACACACACACATTTAACCATTTTCATAAAAAAATTTACTATGGCTTTTGCTCCTAGGTTTGACTGATTTCTTGGTGGAGACTGTCACCCACCTCCCTCCTTTTTTTTCCCTCTTTTGAATGCTTTGTGTTTTGCATTAAGGGGCTATTAACCGTTGGTTCCAGAGGAATGGAGGAGTCATTCAACGCGTGGCTCTGAAAGCATCACCGAGAAGCAAACAAAAGGGGGGTGCTATCTTGGGAACACTACCCCCTCCAACACATGCGCACGCACACCTTTCTTGCTGCTTGCCACTTTGTGGAAAGGAGGGGGCCTCGATTGGATCACCTCTCTCTTTTCCTTCCAGGATGGCTCGCTTCGGTGAGGCAATGGCTGGCAGGCTGGGATCTGGAGATGCAGCCATGGAACAGAACAGGAACCGCCAGGGAGCCCCTGCTACTTCAGGGGGAACCCCAGGAGCATATAAGCAAACTAAAGCTCAACGGGCCAGGACGATGGCATTGTACAATCCCATACCTGTCCGCCAGAATTGCTTCACAGTCAACAGATCTCTCTTCATCTTTGGGGAAGATAACATTGTCAGGAAATATGCCAAGAAGCTCATCGACTGGCCATATCCTTTCCCCTCATGCCTTTTCCCAGCTCTTAGTATACGTTGTACTATTAATGCCACTTGCTGAAACATGGGCAAAGGTAAGCTCCAAGATCCTCTTTCATTCTGTAGCTGGATCACTTGGAAAGGGACATGAAGTGCATGCATGCCCCCACTCACCCTTTCCATTCTCTTGATTTATTTAAGAATGCTTGCATTTTTTTTCTCTCTCTCTGCTGCTCTAACCTATATTTCTTGCCACACTGCTTCAGTTCTTTGCCTGGGCTGATATGCAACGAACGAACAAGTTGATTTGGCTTTAAAAGGACTGCAGCCCAGATTGTTGACTGAAAGAATTGAGAAGAGAGTGCAAGTGATGTGGCCAACTCTAGAAACTAAAACTTCTCCAACACCTAAAGACATAGTTTGATAGGAAAGTGATGACTGAGCAAAGGGGAATTTGAGTTCATATTTAATCATTCTTTCTTTGCAAAGCCATGTTTCTCATAAACTCCGTTTTTCATATTATATGGAAAGGTTTTCGGGACTTCACTACCAAAGTTAGTAAAACATTTTGATATATTATCAGGTATAACAAATGCATGCTAAATGAGCACTGCAGTAGTTTTGACTGAACTGATTTTGACATTATGCAAATGTAGACAAGCTTTCAACTTGCACAGAACACTTGCAAAAAAAAAAGCTTAATTAAGACCAGAGAAGTTGATCCAGTTTTATAAATTGTCTTATCATTTAAGATATGGACACAGGAAATTATGGATCCCTTGTTTTTCATAAACAACCTCTTCCATCCTATATTATAGATAGCAACATTGAACCATATTTACTTCTTTAGTCTTTATGGAATAAATAGTTCATCCTAATACCAATGTGCCATGCATCATCTTCCTAAAAATAAACTTAAATTTAATTAAGATGTCTTTTAAATGTAAATAATAAAGATAATGGCTATGCTATCAAAACATTACACCCCACCCAAATCACTGTGTCCAGATCATTGCCCTGATCCTCAGAAATCTGGGCAACAGAAATCATGCCCTGTAATCTAGTCTAAAACAATTAGGAATTAAATCTAAGCATGGCTGTATATATTACCCTTGCTATATGTAGGTAACTTGTCAACTAATGAAAACATCCTTCCTCTATCCTTTGGGAATCTAAAGCAAGAGACATTGATGCATAGCACAACTTAATTACTTCAAGCCAACCCACACCCACTGTTCTTCCTTGCCAGGCTTTCATATTGCCAGTTCCAACTTCTAGTAATTCTGGCAAACAGGTCCTTTCATTTACTTATTTAGCACACCCATACCACCACTAGAGAAGGTCAGCTTTCATTATAGATAGAAGTAGCCTCCTTTTTTCTCCATATTGAATTGAACAAGCAAATTGCCAAGTAAAAGTCATGGATGCTACTTATTATCACATTTGGTGGTCGTGCAGAGAGATAAAAGCATTTTGGATTAAGATATGGTGGAATATCCAGAGAATTTTTAGAAGGAGGGTAAAATTTACTCCGCAATTATTTTTGTTGGGTATAGTTACTGATTGTGATACAAAGGAGGTTATATTGATGTTAAATTTGATTACAGCTGCGAGGCTGTTAGTAGGACAATTTTGGAAGAAGGAATCTTTGCCTACATTGCAGGAATGGTTTCTTAAAGTGTCTCATTTGGCGGAAATGGCAAAGATTTCGGCTTTTTTAAAGGAACAAACGCAAGAGAAATTTCTTGCTGTTTGGGATAAGTGGATAAAATTTATACAATTTAAACTGGATATAAAAAAATATTATATAGCCTTTTTATAATCTTCATTTTTATATATATATATGTTTTAATGTTATATTTTCCTTTTTTATAAATATAATTTTTAATTGTTTTTTAATTAAGCCTATATTCTGCTCTGGGAAGCTCTGGGGGGGGGGAAGGGGGGATGTTTGGGTGGGGGGTGGGTAAAGGGGGTTTTGTTACGTAATGTTTAGGTTTTTTTGTATATGTTGTTTTTTGTCTTTGTATGGTTTTGTTCTTTTTGTAAAACTTATAAAACTTTTTAATAAAAAAAAAAAGAAATAAAAAAAAAAGTATCACAATCAGGACTAAGGAAGGCACCGAGGACTTTTAATGGATTTCTAATAAACACCCTGTTCAGCACCATGGATAGCTCCTGACGTTAGCCTCTCACGATCAGGCAATGCCCATTATTTGTATAAACATTCAGGGTGAGCTCCTCTCTCTCTCTCTCTCTCTCTCTCTCTCTCTCTCTCTCTCTCTCTCTCTCTCTCTCTCTCTCTCTCTCTCTCTCTCTCAATCTCTCTCTCTCTCTCTCTCTCTCTCCCCCATTTTTACATAAGGTAACTATTGTAATCTGGAATATACTTATTATGAAGAAAGAAATAGAAAATAGTGAAATTGAATTCCAAATGAGTACCAAAGGGGTGTGATTTTTGCAATGGAACTGCATCAGACTTCTCTGGTATTATCTTTGCAGCCCCACCCAGGACCATGCATCTGGTTTGATACAGCCCCTTAGAGAGTTTTATTCTTTTTAGCTATCTGTGTGTGGCTCGAATATTATACAAACTTCTGTTATGTTGTAGTAAGGATTTCTATGCTTATGCAGGTGCATTTACTTCATAATGAAAGCCTCTGTGAGTAGGGAATAGATTACCCGGTACAAAGGGAAAAAGTAGATCATATTTCCACCACAAGTAAGTCCTTCCTACAGGATTTGTATTCTGCCCTTGTATGAATGGCAGCCATTCATACATAGAAGAAAATAAAAGAATTATATTTTGACACATTGCTAAGATGAAATGACTATCATATTGTGAGCAATGAGTAATTTTGTTACCTCTTCAAGGTGTGTCAAATTCCACTCTCTGTGGAATTCAGCAAGAACTATTCAGGGTTGTTCCTGTCCTGTCCTGTTAGTTGCACTTTATCTTCTCAGCCCTATCTTGAGTTCTTTTTAGTTATGAGGAAATATGATTGTAAAGAGTGATAGAATCTTGACCAATTGAGGATGTTGACAGGTGGCAACTTGTTGTAACATACATATCATACTTGTTCTGTCAATGTGATTTTCCTGTATCTGCTTTTCTTAGGTAGTTTTTCATGACAAGGAAATTAATGCCTCATTCAGAAATATCAAAGACTTGGATAAGAATCATCTGTGGAGTATTTTAACATTCAAAACATAGTTCTATTTTTCTTGATAAGACAATGTAATAAGTAGGGCCTTGCAACAAACATATGAGAACACACAATAGGCAAGAGATGCCTTCTGCTGTAAGTGCTTGAACTTTTTGGCAGACATTTCTTTCTCATAGTTTCAAAAAAGTATGTGTGGAGTAGATCTTCATCTCTCCCATTACTTACTTAACATTTTTAGTGGTAATGTAACCAAGTGAGCAAGATAGATATATGGACAGATATGCCTCTTCAAGGACATCAGAAAATAAATAACATTGCTCTGCACAATTGGCATGTAATATGAAGCCTCTCCTGTTGTGTACTGTTACCAAGAAAACTATATGGTTGTATCCAGATAGTCACTAAGAGTAGAGCTGGACACAAAGGAGTTTTTACTTTTAGATCTTGTTATACATATAAGGAGACTGGACTGTTGCCTATTCAAGAAATCTGCCAATCTAATTTTGCATTCTTGCTCTAGCAATTCCTCTTGTGTGCTATCCAGTAGCCTTAATATAGCTGGAGACACGAATAGCCGTCTTGTGGGCCCATTTTAGAGTTGTAGCGGTTAAAGTTTCTGAGAATTAATAGAAAAATCTATTTCCATAAAGTTGCTCCAGAGACTATAAAATAAGTCTAGAGACCTATGAAGAATTTCTCTTTGTTTTTTGATTACAATACAGATCATAATAGCTGGCTTGGGAGCTGACAGGGTTTGCCTTGAAGACAGGGTTTTTTGTCTGTCTGTCTGTCTGTCTGTCTGTCTGTCTGTCAATGGAGCTCTGCAACTGGGTTTAATAAAAGAATCTTGCTAGCACCAAGTCTTGATTGGTACTAGTTGGCAGAATCTTGGAAACTGTCAGAAATAATGGTGAAATTGCAACACATGACTATTATAATTGTTTCTAGTCTTTCCACCCTTTTCTTATGTTTGTATGTGAGTGAATGTGTCTCCTAGAAGAAACAGCCTATCAAAGCAGCTCTCTTTACTTTGTTTATTGTTATAGAATTTCTATCCCATTTTGAATTTATTAAAAGCCATCTCAAGGCTACTTTTCCATTATGATGGGGATTTATTATACCGTATTACAATGAACAATTCAAATATTAAATTCTTCCTTATGGCTTTGCATTCTCTACAGCCTACCCACCTATAATTTGGTTTTGCATTATCCTCTGGGATTTATATTTCCTATAGAAATTCCAGAGAAATGAACAAGATTTACATATTAGTCCCTTTTTTATTGTGGGGTATATGGTAAAAAACAACGGAATAATAGCAGTTTAGGAGTATTCCCTGCAGAGGTGCAGAATTTTCAAGTGCTTTTAGTATTTAGCAGGTTATAAAGATCAACTGAAGTGTTTAGGTGTTTAGCTTGTTGGGCCATAAAATATTGAATAGAGGCTACCATGCTTAGTGCAAAAAAGTTATTCAAGCTTGTTTAAATTGGTTAAATTTAGTTTTTTAAAGTTGAATGAATAAACACTTTTGCATGCTATTATTTACAGACCAATATACATATCCAATAAATTCTCTGAACTTGATCTGTATAGTAATTCTTTAAAAATTTTAAGAATTTAAGATTCTTTAAATGAAAATATAAATAAAAATATAGATTTTTCCCCATAAAGCAAAGTGTATAAAGGGAGAAAAAGTGTTACACCAATGACTTCTTATTTATTTATTTATATAATATCTTGGTATAGAATCACAACAAGCAACAAATTATCAAAGCTTTGAGTCACAGAATACCTTTAATTGTGAATTTTGTGAAGCACCTCCTAATATAGAATTCTAAAGGTCCCTTG